TGCATGGAAAATGCTATTAGGCCTCATATTCGAACTTACACCAGATGCAATGTAGACAGGCAAGAAGAGCCAGCCAAGAAGACCCAGAGTGAAAGCCGCATTGTACTCGAAGACAGCCTTGGCAATACCAGAAGATGCCCCGGAACCAGCAAGACCAATGAAATGTCCAGAGCCTATGTTACTGGCAAACAATGAGGCACCAACTGGGATCCAGTGCATGGAACGACCGGCCAAGAAGTAGCCACCGACAGAACCCCGGTTTCTCAACGAAGACCATATACCGACAGCAAAGATGATAACGAAGTAGGAGACGATGACACCGATATCGGCACCATCTAGGTACCCGACAATTGGGTCCATTTACTCGTCACTTTTGAATGGGCCATCTTTAGGGTTACGATGCTTTATAAAGGTGCTTGCACACAAGCAATTCAGTTAGGTCGTTTGTGATTTGCATCTATATATTTAAACTAATAATACTATATGTCATAGTTACTTATTTAAGTTCTTAAATTTAGCATTATTATTACCCAGATTATTTACTTTTAATGATTTATTGTATTTTTGGAATTTATGATCCTTACTATAATATTTCATCTTTATATATATTTCCCTTACTTTATAAATCAAACTTTAATTTTTATTTTATTCGCTATTTTCAAAATATGTTAAATTTGATGCTTTAAAAGTAGTTTTTAGCATTCTTTCTACATTTTCCTCTGTAAACCGTCCCCATATTATTACCGATTTTATGTATAGATGTTAAGCAAGTAGTATAATTTCCCTCTCTCTTTAATATATATATATATATATATTTAATTTTATTCACTTACTTAAAAAAATAAAAATTTATACATCATAGATAAAAATTTAATTTTATTTACTTACTGCTTTTTCCAATAAGTAACCCCCATTAAATTTTCTAACTAAGAGGAGAAACTTTATCCAAACAATTTGTCACTAGTTAACTTATCTTGAAAATTATTCAAATCCATTGAGTATATGATTAACTTTAAGAGGTGTATGTTTTTATTATTCACAACCTGCGCACATATTATCATGCATAATAAGTGTCAATAACCACCCTTAATTGGAAACTTGTTGGTCTTCACATCGTGTAAAGTTAAACTTAAGATCTCAAACAGTGTGGTAACTTTTAACTCAAATTTGTCCATTTCACAGTGTTACCGCTCAATGTATGTGACGGATGATATTTATTTCATGGTCTTAAATACGTAATTACATTTGATTAATGTTTGTAAAATGTTCGTAAAATTATTAACGCTTTCTGCTGTTAATAAGACGTATTTATTGTTGACTATTTCTCTTTGGCTAAAAAATCTTCAAATAAAGATAAAGTCTAGAAGAATTATATATATTTGTACAGAAAGATGGATGGCGTATGAAAATGCTATGTCAGATAGAGTTTCGTTAAGAAATAAGGGTTACGTTCAGGTCAAGCGATGGAGAAATAGATGCTAGTTGCAAATTTACATTCTAAATAATGAGGATACTATGCGGTTGAAGTAGTCTGTGCAATCTAAGCGGTTTAAACATATTAAAAAATATTGTTAATTTTGTAAGGAATAACGCACTAGTCTGACAACTTGATGGTGCATATACTTGAATAACTTTATTGGCCCCAAAATTGCCAAAAATTTCGAAATTCAATAAATACACCTAAGGTCTTTAATGGTGCGCTTTATTCTAAAATTCTGCCTGGCAGCGGTTCCCCACTTTAACAAATTTGAACAATAATGGCAACAAGCAATTAGTTGTCATTTAATTTTTGGATAAGATCATTACTACTTATAAGACACACCTTGTAAATCGAATAGTCTAATTGGTTTGTTGAGATCAAGAAGTTTTCGAGCGTGTGCGTTGTATCCAATTCTATGACAACAAAACTCTATTTTATAACTAAAAGTTTTTATCCCCCACCCCCTATTCTAGGGTGTAAGTTAACTGTAGGCGATCCACAGACTTTGATAAAAAGGAAGATTCGGAGTTTCCATTAGGCAGGTTGCAGGCATCTATCCCTTCTATTCGGATAAATTTGTCCATATTCTTCGCCTTGCTCAATTTCCCCTCATAACTGATCTCATTCTGTCTAAAAAGGGGCGCGCGATGGACTTACCTCCACGTGGTGCACCCTGGACAACGTATATACATGCGGCAAAAAGTCTATTACTCGACATTTGACTTCAATTTATTATGATTAGCTTGAAACGAAGATATGAGAGAAATCGTCCTCGTCAGGGCGAATCACAACTTCTACAGATCCTTCAGTGGAATGCTAGAGGGATGTCACAGGACAAAAAGATCCAAATCCAGAAATTCCTACAAACTTATGACGTAGAAATATTCAAAATTATGGAAGCAAACCTTACGGATGGCAAACTGAAGTACTACCAATTCTCAGGTTTCACCTTACACCTTCTACCTAAATACCAGCAAGTTGCAAGTGGAGTTCTGCCTGGAGTAAAAGAAGGCCTCACATCACACTACGATCTAATCAAGAGTATGGGCTCCACACAAGACATATGTGAAATAATCAGATTAAATGTTTGGAAATGTCTAAACCACTTCAAGATGTATGCAGTCTATAATCCACCCCAGAATTGTCCCAACTTTGACTTACTGAACAACTCACACAAAACTGTAGTATTAGGAGACTTCAACGCCCATTCCACCAGATGGGACCACAAGGATACAAACAGAGCTGGAAAGGAAATCGAAGACATGCTAAACAGCAACCATCTGGAAATTATTGACAGCAATGAGGATTCGGCTACATATTTGCACTACAATGGAACCAGAACAACTCCTGACTTACTCTTGACTTCAAGTGACATCAGTGAGCATACACGCCACAAATAATTGACGATCCTGGTTCTGGTCACAAACCAGTCATTGCAAGTACTACCATCGGCAGCAAAAGCATGACATGGAAAGTGCCAACTAAACTATCATGGAACTTCAAGAAGGCTGACTGGCCTAGATTCACAAACCTTTTAGAGAATGAACTTCACACAAGTCCCCTCAACTTCAACCAACATCCTGACAAACTTTGTACTGCTATCACGAATATTATGATTAGATGTGCAAAGAAAACTAAACAAGACTAAACACTATCGAGTGTTTTGGTCTAAACACCTTGAGGAACTGAAAAGAAAGAGAGACGCCCTTCGCAACACTGCTGATCAGACTGGAAGAACGGAAGACGTACAAGCCTGGAGACGACAATCAGCTGTCCTAAGGCAAGCCATCTTACAAGCTGAACGGACTTCCTTCGACTAGTTCATCTCAAATATCAACTATCGAAGTGATAGCCAACGCACTTTCAAATTCCTGGGTAACCTCCAAAACAACAGAGAAAGACCCAAGAAGGAACCAATACGTTTAAAAAACAAACTGCTTACCACCGACTCCGAAATAGCTAACTGCTTTGCGAGGTTCTATTCTCACAAGCAAAAGAAAAACCCTTTTGTCAGAAAATCCTCAAGAGATTTAAGGATACAAGTAAGACAGTTTGGTGAAATTAAGGAAGACACAACAACACTAAATAATGTACTTACTGAACCATTCAGACCTTGCGAACTTAATGCTGCGATAAAACAGCTCAAGTGCAAAAAGTCTCCTGTCGAAGACGGTATTCATCCGGAATTTCTAATTAGAATGGGACCAACGGCCAAGAAAACCATGCTGACACTTTTCAACAAAATCTGGGAGACCAGTCTCGTAACTAACCAATGGAAAGTTGCCGTAGTAATACCAGTACTAAAAAAGGGCAAAGACCCCAGCAACACTGACAACTATAGGCCCATCTCCCTCACAAGCGTGCTGGCTAAACTTATGGAAAGAATGGTTAACAGGAGACTGACCTGGTTCCTTGAGACCAACAATATTCTTAGGGGTGAACAAGCAGGTTTTAGGCCACAAAGATCAACGAATCAACAAGTAGCCACTTTCTCCCAACACATCAAAGATGCCCTTGATGCAAGAAATAGCCTTACGGCTGTTTTCGTCGATTTTAAATCAGCATATGACTTAGTATGGAAAGAGAATATAATTCTAAAATTGGCAAAGATTGGTATTAAGCATAACATGCTAAACTGGATAAAAGTATTCATTGGACAAAGATCAAGTAAAGTCAGATACGGAAATACTCTATCAAAATCCAATCTTTTACAAACAGGCCTTCCACAGGGAGCTGTCACAGGCTACACTCTTTTCAATGTCTTCATCAATGACATAGCCGAATTGGTACAGACAGTCAAGGGCATCAAGTGCTTACTTTATGCAGATGATCTTGTTCTATGGTATTCCGCCCCTAAGAAAAACGCTCAGAAGAGGACGGAAAGTGCTCTTAATAGTGCACTCAAACTACTAGCAAACTGGTGCGACAACAATGGAATGGTAATCAACACCGCGAAACCTGCATTCCAAACTTTTTCTTTGGCCCATCTCAGCATAAACCCGCATCTAAGGTACAAGGGTACTACCCTAGAAAATACCAATGAGTTCACTCATCTCAGAATGACGTTTGACACAAAGCTAACGTGGGAAAGTCACATTGCTAAAATAGCAGAACGNCGGACTCACAGTCAGCAATAAACTCAATTGGAAACAGAGAGCCACTCAAAACAGCTGAGATAAACGAATGTAGATAACTCTATGAGCTGCTGAGAGAGAAAAACAAAACATTGGTCCTACAATGGATTCCTAGTCACTGTGGCATTATAGACAATGCGTTTGCTAACGCATTTGCTAAGAAGGGGACAACGATTTTGCAATGCATGGACCGCCCGATGTCTTTCCACACAATGAAGGCCTTAATCAGAAGAGAATTCCAGACCTCAAGGTGCAACGAACTTAAAGCTCGAACAAAGGAGAAACAGTGGACAGTGGCAATCTCCGACATACCCGACTGGCCAAGAATCGAAGCCGTTGCTGAGTTTAGACTACGTACCGGACACGATTGCTTGGCAAAACACCTTCACAGATTGAGAGTATACACTCAACCCACATGCCCTCTATGTGACCTACAGGAGGAAATGGTGAGGACCCACCTGATTCGATGTCCAGCACTAAAAACATCGACGGAAAGCCAAATATACTGGGAAGCAAGAAGACGGCTAATGAACTGCTATTAATTATCTGCTATATATGTACCCCCCCCCCCCCCCCACCCATGAGGAAAGTTTAGTAGCCATTCGGAAAAAATATTTTGTTTAATAACAGTTTCGCTGTATCGCTACTAGCATTGGGATCGATGCCTTCCACCACCGCGCACAACTGGGGGCAAGATCTGTTGGAAGGAGTATGGGGGAGGAGTAGGGGATGGGGGTGAGAGTGAAGGCTTCTGAGGCCAAGCACTGGAACTGATGTGGTCATAAAAATTGCCTCACAACTATTTGTGACTTCCTCCTGGTGTGACAAGGTGCTGAATCCACACTGACACCATTTGCATGACCTATTGTTGGCCAACTTCATTCACTTTCCAGAGCTAAACCACTACTGGTCAGCAGTTCCACGTAGACATCCAAAATCAACTTAGACGTCTCCTTTAAAAAGTGCGAGGGAGGGCACGCTTTCCAAAATCATGATAGTTTTGGGGGGGGGGGGAAATGTAGTCTGGATGATTTGAGGAGTCTTCTTTGGACCCTATGAAAAGTCAAATCATCGAAAAGGAACCAGATCATTTGTGCTTCAGCAGAATGTTTCATTTTGCTTAGAAGTATCTTCACCTTTAACAGACCTATGAAGGTTCGACCATTTCAACGC